GAAGTGAGTCAATTAAATCGGAAATTGACCAAGAAGTGAGTCAATTAAATCGGGAAATGACTTCAAATGAAGTTCAATTGAGTCGGATAGTGAGTCTGAGACAGAAGTCGATGGATAGAAAGTGATGAATCAAAGAAATCAATTGATGAATGCAAAGTGATTTCAAGGAAATATGTTGATAGACACACACACACACAATATATATATATATATATATATATATATATATATATATATATATATATATATATATATATATATATATATATATATATAATATAATATAAAGAAAAAAAAAAAATGCAATAACGATAACTTAAAGAACCCAGTTGGTGAATTAAAGAAATAAGTTTATAAATACTATGTCATCAGAAATCATAAAAAAAGAAATAAATAAATAAAACCATGAAAAATAAATAAAAACTAAAAAATAAAAGAGTAGAAAAAATCTTTGACGATACGATAACATTTCAAAAAGAAGAAAAACCAAAATTACAAACAAATTGAGAATTACATTAATGATCCCTTTTATATGGGAACACTTTTTTTTTTTCTTCACGCTTTTAAAAGACTTTTTGGCATCGCTTCAAAGATAAAAGTTTAAGGTCGTGATGGTTTAATAATCTTAATCTCATTTAATAAAACCTGCGTGACAGGAATTCAAAGATTATCCGTGTGAGGAACGTGTGAGGAGAATTAGGAATAAGGAGGAATAATTGGGGAAGAAGAGAGAGGTAGAAAGGAAGGAAGGAAAGAGAAGAAGAAAAAGATAAGAAAAGTAGAAGGAAGGAAGGAAGGAAGGAGAAACTAGATAATTGGGGAGATTGAAAGGAAGAAGAGGGAGGTAGAAAGGAAAGAAGGAAAGGAGGAAGAGAAAGATGAAAATAGATAAGAATAATTGGGGAGATTGAACGGAAGAAGAGAGAGGTAGAAAGAAGGAAAGAGAAAGGAAGAAAGAAGGGAATAGTAATTGAGAGAAATTGAAGAAAGACGAAAGAGGTGGAAAGGAAGGAGAAGAGGAAGGAGGAAGGAAGTAGTAGAAGTAATAATAAGAAAGAAGGAAGCAAAAAAAAAAAAAAAAAGCAAAAGAAAAAAGTTACAAAAGAAAGAAAGAACAAGAAGAAAAAAAAATCAGAATAAAAAGAGGAAGGAAACAAAACGCGACAAAAAAGAGGCACGTAGAGAGAAAGGAATAAAAAGAAGAAGAAGGAGAAGCAGAAGAAGAAGAAGAAGAAGAAGAAGCCATCCCAGGGAATATGTATGGCCAGCGTCTCAGGCAATAAGACACAGGACGGCTCCTTGGAAGACAGGGGCCGTTTTATGAGCAACAGATGCCAATTTAGGGCTAAGGGGGAGGGGGCAAGGGGGGGGGTTAGGGGCAGGGAGGGGGGGAGAGGGCAGGAAGGGGGAGGGAGGAGAGGGAGGGAGGGAGAGGAGGGGGGAAAGGGGGAGAGAGGGGAGAGGGAGGGAGAAAGGGCGGGGGAGAAAGGGAGGGAGAGGGGAGGGAGCGGGGAGAGGGGGGGGGAGGGGAGAGAGGGGAGGGGGCGGAGAGAGGGCGGGGGGGGTTAGGGGCAGGGAGAGAGGGACGGGGAGGGGGTTAGGGGCAGGAAGGGGGGGGAGAGAGAGGAGGGGGGAGAGAGGAGGGAGGGAGGGCGGGGAGGGGGTTAGGGGCAGGGAGGGAGAAAGGGGCGGGGAGGGGGGAGGGGCAGGGGGAGGGGGGAGAGGGGAGGGAGGGTTAGGGCAGGGAGGTTAGGGGCGGGGAGGGGGGAGAGGGGCAGGAGGGGGAGAGGGGAGGGGGGGGGAGAGGGGAGTGAGGGGGAGAGGGAGGGATAGGGAGAAAGTGCACTGGGGAGGTAGGGAGAGGGGGGGAGAGGGGTCAATTTTCAAGACCCTTACGCGGTTTCCCGAATGGGGGGGCCCGGGGGTGGGTAGCGGCAGGGGGGGGGGGTATTATAGGGTGCGAAGGATTACCCTTAAGGGTTTTATATCGTGTGCGAGTGATTAAGGAGAGAGAAAGAAGGAGGGAGAGGAAGGAGAGGAAGGGGAGAGAGGGGCAGAAGGAGAGGGAGATGGAAAAGGGGAGATGGAGAGGGAGAGGGAGAGGGAAAGGCTGAGAGAGAGAGAGAGAGAGAGAGTGAGAGTGAGGGTGAGAGAGAGAGAGAGAGAGAGAGAGAGAGAGAGAGAGAGAGAGAGAGAGAGAGAGAGAGAGGGAGAGAGAGAGAGAAAGACAAAGAGAAAAAGAGAGAAAGAAAAAGAAAAAGAGATAAAAAAAGAGAGAAAGAGAAATAGAAAAAGAGAGAGAAAGAGAAAGAGAAAAAGAGAGAGAAAGAGAAAATTCCATGCTCTAAAATATCACGTATGATCCCCATACATAAGTACTCTAAAAACAAAAAATACTCCAAATTTCCACGGAGTCTCTGAAGACCTACAAAACTCTATATATCTGTACATTGAAAGGTTGTTCCATGTTCCAGTACATCTCTCCCTCTCTTTATCCCATTTAATTGTTCCCCAAAGGTTTCTCTCGATCTCGAAGGTCTTCGGGAAGGAATTTTCTAAGAGAGATCCTCCGATTCTTAATAAATCCGAAGAATTTTGATACTTCATATATCAGGATCTTTGAATAATATCCTTGTTTCTCTAAAATCTTTGAGGACATTTGAAGAATTTTAAAAGGGTTTTTTTATATATATATTTTTTTTTATTTCTAAGTAATCTGAGACTTTATATACATCCGGGTTTGAAAAAAATGATTAAAAAGATGGAGAAATCGGAAATTAAATCTGTTTACGTAGGAAATCTGGGTACTTAAAGAGGAAATACTTAAAGGGATCGAGGACTTCAAAAACCGATTGGAAATTTTAAATGGGTTTAGAAATAAGGAATGATTAAAAAGATGGAGAAATCGGAAACTAAATCTGTTTACGTAGGAAATCTGGGTACTTAAAAAGGAAATAATTAAAAGGATCGAGGACTTCAAAAAACCGATTGGAAATTTTAAATCTGTAAATGAAAATGATTAGCAGTTCCCTCCTTAATTTCTATGGACTCGTGAACTACTTTTTTTTTAAATACCCTGCTACTAAAAAAAAAAAAAAAAAAAAAAGTTCCCTGCTACGGAACCCTTTATAATTTGGCAATTCAAAAAAAAAAAAAAAAAAAAAAAGGAAAAGAAAAAAAACAGATCCCTTTAACCCTTTATAATTTGACGATAAAAAAAGGAAAAGAAAGAAAGAAAGAAAAAAAAAAAAACAGATCCCTTTAACCCTTTAAAATTTGATGATAAAAAAAGGAAAAAAAATAATGATAAAAAACAGATCCCTTTAACCCTTTATAATTTGACGATAAAAAAAGGAAAAGAAAAAAACAGAACCCTTTAACCCTTTATAATTTGATGATAAAAAAGGAAAAAAAGGAAAAAAACAGATCCCTTTAACCCTTTATAATTTGACGATAAAAAAGAAAAAAAAACAGATCCCTTTAACCCTTTATAATTTGATGACAAAAAAAAAAAAAAAAAAAAAAAAACAGAACCCTTTAACCCTTTATAATTTGATGATATAAAAAAAGGAAAAGAAAAGAAAAAAAAAAGTTTCTTGTTTTCGTCGAATCCTGAAGGACATCTGAAGGTCACGTCGAAAAAGGCGTTTCTCTCCTTCCCTTTGATCGCCTGAGGACTTATAAGGCGCTATGTACCCGGGGAGGTCGGGAGGGACGGCGCCCGGGCTAGTTGGGAGTGTCTTGGGAGGGGGCTGGGGTCTGGAGGGGGGATGGGGGGAGGGGGAGGGTCTGGGGGGTGGGGGATGGAGGGGAGGGGTCTAGGTGGGGATGGGGGGGAGGGTCTGGGCTGGGGTCTTGGGGATGGAGGGAGGGGTGATGGGGATGGACGGGGGATAGAGGGAGGGGGAGGGGTGGGGAGATGGAGGGGAGGGGTCTGGGGTCTGGGTGGGGGATGGAGGGGAGGGATGGGGTTCTGGGTGGGGTCTGGGGTCTGAGTGGGGATGGGGGAGGGTCTGGGGGGGATGGAGGGAAGGGTCTGGGTGGGGGATGGAGGGGAGGGGTCGGGAGGGGAGGGGTGGGGATGGAGCTGGGGAGGTGGGGGGGGTGGGGTCTGGGTGGGGGGAGGGGGAGGGAGGGGTCTGGGGGTCTGGTGGGGGATGGAGGGGGAGGGGTCTGGGGTCTGGGTGGGGGATGGAGGGGAGGGGATGGGGGAGGAGGATGGAGGGGAGGGGTCTAGGTGGGGGAGGAGGGGGTGGGGGATGGGGCTGGGGTCTAGGTGGGGGCTGGGGTCTGGGTGGGGGATGGAGGGGAGGGGTGATGGGGGTCTGGAGTCTGGGTGGGGGATGGAGGGGGTGGGGGCTGGGTGGGGATGGGGCTGGGTGGGGGATGGAGGGTCTGGGGTCTGGGGTCTGGGTGGGGGATAGAGGGGGAGGGGTGATGGGGAGAGGGAGAACTGGAAGAGGGGAGGAGAGCGAAGGCGATAGAAGGGGAGACGAAGGGAGTTTGGGAGAGAAAAACAGGAAGGAAGGGAAGGCGATGGAAGGGGAGACGAAGGAGGTTGGGAGAGGGAAATTGGAAGGGGAGGGGGGGGAGGCGATAGGAGGTTGACGAGGGAAATAGGGGAGAAAACTGGAAGGAGGAGCGATAGGAGGAGAGAAGAAGGGAGTTTGAGGAGAGGAGAACCGGAAGGAAGGATAAAAGAAGGGAGGACAGGGCTGGGGAGGGAGAAAGGAGACCAGGAGACGGGCGAGGGGGAGTGTGTTCGCTTAAGACTCGCGATCCCGGGGAAGACATTTTGCAGAGTCCCAGCAGAGTTCGGGGAGGGGGGGGAGGGGAGAAAGAGCGAGGAGAGTCGTCGGTGATCCAGAAGAGGGTTTAAGAGGTGCAGGAAGTGTTGTGGCGGCGGAGTGAGGGCGGTGCGCACGGCGTTTCTCTTTTGTTTATTTTTCCCGCGTCTTTTTCCCGCGCTTTTTTTTTCCGCCTCAGTTGCGTTTGTCTTTGCCGAAATATTTTTCTATTTTCTTTACTGGATTGATATTCTTTCTTTCTTTCTTTTGTAATTATTTCTCTCTCTCTCTCTCCTTTCTTTTTAGGAAAGTTTGTGAGGACACTTTTCTTAATTTCAACTTGACTGTATTCTTTTGCGTTCGTTATCCCTCGTCATGTCTTCCAAATTCGTCTTTGATTTTCCCCTTCCCTTTCGTTCCTCATTTGTCTGAGTTTTCCGCGTAATATTTTCTCAGAACTTTGAATGTCTGAATTTTTCTTTTATTTCTCTCTCTCTCTCTCTCTCTCTCTCTCTCTCTCTCTCTCTCTCTCTCTCTCTCTCTCTCTCTCTCTCTCTCTCTCTCTCTCTCTCTCTCTCTCTCTCTCTCTCTCAGTGTTTATGTAAATCATTTATTTTGCATTTCCTCGTGTTTCTAACCTACGCCGGTTCACTTCTCCCGTTAATTATCATTATTATTTATTCCTTTTCATCAGTTATTTTCTTGATTTGCGTTTACTTGACCTGTATTTTAAGGCATTTCTTAAAACGAATGAATATTTCTAATCATTACGTCATCGATATTTATAATCATTTCGTCATGCTTGTTCACGAAGTAAGGATTAGTGATGTTCATAACACAATGATTAGAAATATTCATGATGTAATAATTATAGATATCCATGACGTAATGATTATAGATATTTATGACGCAATAATTATAAATATTCATGACGTAATAATTAGAAATATCCATGACGTAATAATCATAAATATTTATGACGCAATAATTAGAAATATTCATGACGTAATGCTTATGAATATTAATGACGTCATAATTAGAAATATTCATGACGTAATGCTTATGAATATTAATGACGTCATAATTAGAAATATTCATGACGTAATCCTGATCGAGAAATATTCACGGCGTATGAAACAGGATATTAGGGAAAGGGTTGAGTGGGGGAGGGGGGAGGGGGGGAGGGGGATGGGGGGAGGGGAGGGCGAAGGGGGCGGGGAAGGAGGAGGGGGAAGGGGAGGGAGGGGGGGGGAAGGGTTGAGAGGGGGAGGGGGGGGGAAGGGGGAGGGGGGGAGAGGGAAAAGGGGCGGGGACTTGGGGAGGGGGAGGGGGGAGGGGGGAGGGGGAAGGGAAGGGCGAAGGGAGGGGGAGGGGGGGGAAGGGGAGGTGGAGGGGAGTGGGAGGGGGAGGGAAGGGAAAGGGCGAAGGGGAGGAAAAGGTTGAGAGGGGGTAGGGGTTGAGAGGGGGAGGGGGGAGGGAGGGGGAGGGGGGAGGGGGAGGGGGAGGGGGAGGGGGGGAAAGGGCGAAGGGGAGGGGGAAGGGCGAAAGGGGGAGGGAGAGGGGAAGGGGGAGGGGGGAGGGGGAGAGGGAAAGTGGGGGGGTGGGGGATAAAAAAGCTCATATAGAACGCAATTTACGGGTAATGAAGGCGTTGATGGAAGATATTAACAGGCGGAGATAATAAGTAAAATAAAGATAAGAAGATATAAGGTTGGTAATTAAATATTGATAATACACGATCCTATGGTATTTTTTAAAAGATTGCCAGTGTTCATACTCGAATTATATATTACTTAGATATTCATATATTCATGTATTATATCTTATATCACATTTTTTTAATTTTTTTTATTTTTTATTTATTTTTATTATATCATATATTATAATTCATATATTCATATACCATATCATTTATTCCTATATTCATATCTTACACTATATGTAGAACATGTAAATGCGTGAATTAAAAATGGTTTTGAATAATTTAATTCCTTATTTGGGAATAGATATAACCATTTTTTTTAGTCATCAATGAAAATGATTTGAAATTTGACATAACTGACCTTTCTTTACCATTTAAGGAGCGCCTGTTCAACCAAGAGGTCAGAATATGTATAACAAGTTCACAAGTTCAAATTCACTTTCAAAATCAACCTTTTATGAATCAAGGTTGCCATATCACTCTTAAGGTCATAATTTACTTTGCCAGTTGATAGGTCAAGGTCACTTAGTCCGTTAAGGTCAGGCTACATACCAGTCGATCTGCCAAGGTCAACGTAGCATTGTTTAACAAAAGTCATCATCACCATATTAGGTAATCAGGTCCACGTGAATTTGTAAGCACCAAACAACACCAATTTGTAAACACCTATCTTTTAGGGTCATTATATCAGGTAGAACCACTGTGCTCTCCCTCCCCCCTCACTCTCTCTCTTTTTCTCTCTCTCTCTCTCTCTCTCTCTCTCTCTCTCTCTCTCTCTCTCTCTCTCTCTCTCTCTCTCTTTCTCTCTCTCTCCTCTTTCTCTCTCTCCCTCTCTTCTCTCTCTCTCTCTCTCTCTCCCTCGTCTCTCTCTCTCTCTTCTTCTCTCTCTCTCTCTCTCCTCTCTTCTCTCTCTCTCTCTCTCTCTCATTCCCGTTTCTCTCTCCTCCTGATTTTTCTGTTTCTTTCTTCCCCCATTCTGTCCTCCCTCTCTTTCTCAAAACTCTTCTCTCCTCCCTTTCTTTTCCTTCTCTCTTGCTCTCCATTCCCCCTCTCTATTATTCTTCTCTCAGCTCTTTTTCCCTTTCTTCCTCTTCCTCTTTTTTTTCTTTTTGTGCCTATCCTCTTTCCTCATTTTCCCATTCCTCTACCCACTTTTCATTCTCCTTCTCTTTTTTCTATCCCCTCCTTTTTCTCTCCCTTTTCTTCCTTTCTCCCTCCTCTCTTCGTCCCCTCCACTTCTCCCTATCTCTTCTCTCTCTACCTTACCCTCTTAGCCCTCTTCCTTCTTCTTCCTTCTCTCCCTCCCCCACTCCTGCTCCTCCCTCCTCTCCGTCTCTTCCCCATCTCAAC